TTCGTCCCAGCCATGACATCTTCTCAATTACTTCCTGGGACCCGGATGTTGACGACATATTCCAAGTCTACACCTGACAGTTCGATCGTGATAAACACCGAAGTCCACTGCGTGTCCCGCGAACTGGGCGTAACTTGGGGATGAATTATTAGAGAGGCGGACTTACACAGTGTCTGTTGCACCCTCATTTCTCCTACCCACCTTGCATCGATGGCGAGACGAGGTCAAGACGACGGGGGAGGGGGTTTAATGTAAGGGCCATTACTAGCAACTGCAAACAGAGAGACTAAACGTGCCATAAGCGACCTGTTTCCCACTATTTCTGACAAACTACTCTGAAAGAGCGTCGAATCACGCATGGGTAAGAGTGTTGTAGATGACCCATTTCAGTGTGACTTGCAGAGCTGAGACGGACCACGACATCCCGGCAGTTGGCAACCTTCCAAGTCGAGACTCTACGAACGCAGTGCGACCAATGCCAGCGCACTAATTTCACTACTAATAGTAGTATCTTCCATGGGGACTGAGTACCCAGTAACGCTGATATAGGAATGCACACCTAGTAATTCACATTAATCAGCAAAGGACAAAAAGGAGGAGGAAAGTTGGCACAGAAACGCAACGAAATGCGTAAAACAAACCTCCTCAGCACCCATTTCAAGGGCAACTAGGCCGATTGTGCACATCAAGTGTTCTAAGTTGTCCACTTTGTTGCTCGGATCCATCAGCTGGTGGTAGAGATTGTCGGTCAGCATGAAGCCAGTCTGAAAAGACCAAAACACACGGTTGGAGTAAATGGTGGAGGAAAAGTCTACTATGTTGTTAGCTGACTCCATAAGCACACATTGTTAGGAAGGCATCAAGACAAGTAAAACAAAAGGCACATGTCCGAAAAAACAACAGGACGAGGAAGGCACACGGACTAGATGAAGCTGGGTCCAAGGTAAGCGTCTGTATCTAACGTCTTCAAAGTCCCCAGCGTTGTCTGGTCAGAGGAGACAGTCATAAGTAGACATCTGTTGTTTTACTATTAACTGTAATCAATCGCGACTTTGAAACTGTTGGGAACGAGCCGATTCGCACGATTACTCATCTTACAGAAAGGCCCGCAAGTACAACTTACGCCGCTGTCATGAGAGCGCGCCGTGACTATCGATTTTTCCTCATAGCTGATTGGTCCCCTATCGTTGATGCCTGCTCATGGAGCGGGCTGGATAAATACTCCCCAGCCTGTGATACGAGTGACTTGCTGTAAAGTGTTTTGTCTGAGTACACGGTCTCTCTCCCTGGTCGACTGATCTTCTCTCGTACGGACTTTGGGATCCGGGATCGGATAATTCACCGCTCGTGGTAATTAAAAGTATCAGGCAACAAAACAAACTTCGTTAGCTGTAATGCGACAGCAGGAAATTTGTCTTCAGATGAGGAGTCCCACAGGGCCGGATGCTCGACATATGTATAAAAGGGTGGATCGGCGCTCGCCTATCAGCTATGCAACTCACTCGTCCCACTGTGCCTTGGAACTCGCTCTTGAGCTCCGCCAGCAAGCACTCAACGGCTAGCATATTATAGGCCGAAATACATAAGCGACCATTTCTGACTTATTAACCGTCATCAGGTAGCCATAGCCAACCCCA